ATCAAAGGGATTTGATGAATTTGTTTTGATGAATTTATGATTGAGAAATCTTGACTCTCTTTTATAGGGGTTCAAGTAACCTATTACATGCAGTTATAGGAAATTTAGTTTACATAACATATTCCATGTACAAATAGGATTTTATTTTATTACATTATTTTGATTTTATTATTTGTTTGGATAATATTAATTTGATGAATGGGAAACCTTTCTCTATTAGGATATGACAAATATATTTTTATTTCTTTTAACTGTAATGGATTAATTTTTTAAAAACAATTTCCTTTATCTAATTTTTTTATTATATTGTTTTTTATTTTTTTTTCTCTAAGACATGTGTCACGATCTTAACGGACGTAACATTAAAAGTGACACATGTCGCGATCTTATAAATTATAAAAATCCTATGTGTCGCAACCACGTCGTGCGCATCCAACTTTATATAATAAAAAATTGATGAATGGGAAACCTTTTTCTGTTTGGATATAACAAATATTATTTTTTCCTTTTTGATATAATATATTAAATTAAATTTCGTTTTTTTTAATTAACATTTTTCTGGAATTTTTTTTTAAGTTCTCTTTTTTCCTAAGACACATGTCACGATCTTAAAGACATAAACTTAAAAGTGACACATGTCGCGATCCTGAATTTTATAAAAATCCTACGTGTCGCAACCACGTCGTGCGCATCCAGCTTTATATAATAAGACTAGATTAAGGCCCGCGTATACGCGGGTGTATTTTAAGATTTAATAATAAAAGCATAGAAAAGATTTAAACAAAATTTGATCATTTTAAACGTAACAAAATAATATTGAAAACCCGATAAAAATATTTAAATAAAATAAGATTGGTAATACTTTTACATTTTTGTTGTAATTGATTTTTCTTTTGACAAAAGAATTTAAATTATTTGTTTCCTGTTTTTTTATTACTTTTAATGGATGTATTATTTTTTGGCCATAAAGAAGTATGTTTTGCATTGCAGATACGTCCAAATATTTGCAAATACATTTTGCCAAAAAGACAACTAATTTGAAAAGGAGGGAGTATTATTTTTATCCAATACAGAAAGACTTACACATGTCTAAATCTGATCAATTGATTATTTAATCAAACTTTTATTATTTCATTCAAGAGATTTTAATTGATGAAATCTTTATTTCAATTTTTTTAACCTAACAAAAATTGAAAATCAAACTATTTAAAATTACAATATCAATATAATTTTTTTAATATTAGTTAATTGCTTAATAATTAGTTTTGTTAGTTTTCTATTTATATTTTTTCTTTCTCAATTTTGTTTTTATCCTCAGACCATTATAAATACTATATATTGGTATTTTTCCTTTTCGAAATGGATTTTGTTTCCTTTTCTTAATATATGTAGCAAAAGAAATTAAATTATTTGTTTCCTTTTTTTATTACTTTTCATTGATGTATTATTTTTTTTCATTTTAATTATTTGTTATCTGTTTTTCTAATTTTTAGTTAGTCTTATACATATTAATTTTTTATTATTTATTCCATGACACATGTTACTATCTTCATATTTCCAGAATTGTTTTTTTTTCTAAAACACATGTCGCAGTTTTGTCAGTTATAAAAATCTATGTATCGCAAAACTTTCAAAAACATGACTTTTAAATTGGAGAAATAGAATCAAAGGGATTTAATGATTTGCTTTGATGAATTTATGATTGAGAAACCTTGACTCTCTTTTATAGGGGTTCAAGTGACCTATTACATGCAGTTACAGAAAATTTAGTTTACATAACATATTTCATATACAAATAGAATTTTATTTATTACATTATTTTGATTTTATTATTTGTTTGGATAATATTAATTTGATGAATGGGAAACCTTTCTCTATTAGTATATGACAAATATATTTTTATTTCTTTTACTGTAATGGATTATTTAAAAAAAAAATCCTTTATCTATTTTTTTTCTTTTTTTTCTCTAAGACATGTGTCACGATCTTAACTGGCGTAACATTAAAAGTGACACATGTCACGATCTTATAAATTATAAAAATCCTATGTGTCGCAACCACGTCGTGCGCATCCAACTTTATATAAAAAAAATTGATGAATGGGAAACCTTTTTCTGTTTGGATTTGAAAAATATTATTTTTTCTTTTTTGATATAATAGATTAAATTAAAATTTTGTTTTTTTAATTAACATTTTTCTGGAATTTTTTTTTTAAATACTCTTTTTCCTAAGACACGTGTCACGATCTTAATGGATATAAACTTAAAAGTGACACATGTCGCGATTCTGAATTTTATAAAAATCCTACGTGTCGCAACCACGTCGTGCGCATCCAGCTTTATATAATAAGATAGTATGAGTTTTCGATTTGAACTCTATTTTGATTTTTTTGGATATATACTTACCTAAACGGAATTTCATATTATTATTTTATTAGTTCGGTTCAAATCTAATTGGTTTATTCGAATTGAACACTTTGACTTTGTTTTTTTTTTCTTTTCTAACTAGTTGATTTTTGTTGGTTATTTAATTTGAAGGTATAAGTATACCAATGACAGAAAGCAAGTGTCATCGCCAGGCAGATTGCAAAGACGTGAAGCGAGTAGCATGTCCCGGGCCTCTTGCATGTCTATATGGCAGCTGCGTTTGTACTTGGAACCATCAGACCAAATCTTCAACTTGTCAAGTCATATGTGCACATTCGAGGAAAAAACTTAGCCTCGCTGATTTTAGTATTTGCGACTGTGGCGATAAGTAGGATACATGTTACAACTGACAACAATAAATTAATCTAAATAATATGCAAACGTTGAATAAAAACTTACAAGCCTCGCTGATTTTAGTACTTACATTAATTTGCAAACGTTGAATAAAAATAGTTGTGGTTGCCTTTATATATATAAAAAAGAATCGTAAGAAATTTCTGATATTTTGAAGTTGGACTTTTTTGGGGTACTAATCTACATAACTAATAAGGCTTGGACAATCTCCAGCCTTTGACACGTGGCACTCTTTTTTTTTTTTTTTTTTTCGCCTAACACCAAAACGACGTCGTTTTGCGCTTTATTTTTTTTTTTTTCGTCTTACACCAAAACGACGTCGTTTTGCGCTTTATCTTTTTTTTTTCGTCTTACACCAAAACGACGTCGTTTTCGTATTAAAAAAAAAAAAAAAACTAAATCAAAATTATGTGTAATGCTGTTCGTTTTGATGGGCTTGATTATTTATCGGACCTCTTCGTTTCCATGGTAGCTTTAAATGGGCTTACTGGCTAATTAGCTCATTTCATTTCCTTTTAAAAAGGATTGCAATTATTATTATCTATGAGTCTGTAGGATAATAATCAATCTATAATGATTGTTAGTATAAGGAAAATTAGAAGAACTCAACTCCAGTCGATAAATTATTGTATAAAAGAACAAAAAACATATGAAACTATTCACTATGAGTCTATATAAGATTTCACGTAAATAACAACTAAATTTTAAAACTATATGAAAAAAAACAAAATGCAAAACTTACAGAATCTAATATATTCGAGTAAAAAACAAATGATATATTCGAATCTAATGTTCTGAATAATTAAATTAAAAATATTTGGTTTAATAAACCCGCGCATTGCGCGGGTTCTCTAAGTCAAACATTCCTTTAATCATGAATAATCGATTATACACATCATACAACAATATCAGATACATTTTAGTTACTCTTACATTTGTCGTATAGGTTTTACCGTCAGTCCGTTACATTGAAAGAATTATTTTCAATATTTAAATGGGCGTAACACAAGAACGATAAAGCAAAAGACACTGCCCATAAATACTTTTTCTAAATGGAAATGAAGAGATTTTTTTTTTCTTTAAGGTAAAACCATTTAAAAATATAAATAACTTACTTTTTCGTTAAGAAAAAAAAAACATATAATATCAAAAGTATACGAAAACATATTATTTTTATTTTTCGTTAAATGTCAATACATATTTAAGATATTGTAAAAATAATGCAGCCACTTGTGACAAAATAGAGCAGTGAAGTGTGTAGCACGCACGCGGTTAACGCGTGGTGAATAATATTTTGACTTAAAAGTGTATAAAGTTTTGACTTGTAAAGGGTGTCGCTGGTTTCGAGGTAAAACGTACGGATTCCCAATAATATAAGTCCACGTGGCAAGACGGAGCAGGTAACAGAAGCGTTTCTTTGTTCATCCGTTACATTCCGTCAACAATCGCCGTTAAAACAAAAACTCTGCCGTTTACCCTTCTGGTCCGGTAAGTATTTAATGAGAAATTTACTCCTCCATTTATTGCGAATGGAAAGAAACTCAGAAACAGAAAAACTTTTAGAGAGAAAAGAGTGAGAGAACTCCAAAATCTCTAAAGACTAGAGAGAGACTCATTCTTGGAACTTTTTTTTTTATTTCTTTCATTTTCTCGGAAGCTAAAGAAGGTAAGAAAGTGAGATAAAACAATAGAAAGTGAAAGAAAATCTCTATTTTTTTTTGTAGAAAACAAAGGTGGATTATCTAGTTTTTGCTCTTCTTCATACATGTCTTTCTTTTATTTCTCTTTCCTAGTGAGATCCAAAGATATTACACAAACAGTTACTACACAATCGTTATTTTCTATTGAATGTTCAGATAGTGTCATAATTGTTTTGTATTATTTGGACCTCTTTTTCTAAATTTTTTGAAAAAAATTTCATGAGCAATAAATGTTTTCTTTTTATCAGTTACGTTTTTTTGTATTTAATTTTCAAGATTTTCTGAACAATGAAACGATCTAGCTGTCGTCTCTGGTAATTAATCTCATCTTTCATGCGTTTCTTTCTCTTGGTTTTGCATTAGAGATTAACTCTAAGATTTCACATAATATTTTTTTGTTTTTGCATTTCCATGCACTGATTCTTCCTTTTGAAACTTTACTTCTTCCAGATTTCAAAGTACAACCCTAACTGAAATCTTTGTGATCATTAGGGTTTTTTCCCCTAAAAGTTGCTAAGCGATGCTGACAATGAGAGAAGAAAATGTGATGGCTTCAGACAACAGATTTGCTTCGCCGCCCCCACCTTCTTCTTCTTCTCCTGGAACAATCCAAAACCCTAATTTCAATTTCATCCCCTTCAACTCATTTTCCTCCATTATCCCGGTTTGTTTCATATCTCAAACTTTCCACGTTTTTCTAAAATCTTTCTCCATTTCTTGTTTGTTAGTTTAACAAAATCTTTTAATTTGTTTAGAAGGAGGAACATGGGATGATGAGTATGATGATGATGATGGGAAATGGAGCAGTAGAAGAAATGATGGAAAACGGGTCGGTGGGTGGGTCATTCGGGTCAGGGAGTGAACAAGCAGAAGATCCAAAGTCCGGAAACGAATTTGATGTCAATGAACTTCAAGATGATGATCAACAACCTCCTCCGGCTAAGAAGAAACGTTACCACAGACACACTAATCGTCAGATCCAAGAAATGGAAGCGTATGTTTCAAACCTTTTTTCATTCTCTTTTATTTATTTTATCCACTCGGTCTGTTCCAATCTGGTTTTTGGTTCTGTCACATAAGTTGTCGGATTTTTTTTTTTTTCCCTTCTAGAAACCGGCCGTTGTAGATCCAAATCTTTTACAAGGTTTTGTTGATTTTACATGGGTTTTAAGTTTTGTGAATTTCGTTGACCAAAAAAAAAAGTTTTGTGAATTTCAGCTTATTCCTCTCTTTTTTTTTTTTTTTTTTTTTAGGTAGATTGTTCAAAAATAGGAAAACAAAAACTAATCGAAAAGATTCGATATGTTTTTTTAGTTGGTATTTTGGTTCGGGTACCAAAACCAAGCTTAAACAACTTTGGACGTTTTGTCTATATTGTTCTTATGATTGGAGATTAACTTTTGGACTTAAAGTAGTGATTAATATTAAATGATTTTAAATCTGTGTAGAATGTTCAAAGCAAATCCTCATCCAGACGATAAGCAAAGAAGTAGATTAAGTCATGACCTTGGTCTCAAGCCTCGACAAGTCAAGTTCTGGTTCCAAAATAGGCGTACCCAAATGAAGGTATTTATAGTTAATTCAATAATTTCGTTTCAATGTATATTCTTTGTAACAATTATTAGATGATGCCATCTTAATATCTCAAATTTAAACATGAAATTTTTAAAATATGAACTATGATAGTGAAGAAAACTATGAAATGTTAGATTCATGGCTAAAGTAAATGTTAGGGAGTGCATTTCATAATACTCAATACTTAAAAGTGCTCCATTTACATCTGTATAAAAAAGATTAACTACTATGACGAACTAATTAATATATACTTAATGTGATGAATCAATAATATTTAGGCACAACAAGACAGGGCAGAGAATGTGATGCTAAGGGCAGAGAATGAGAATCTGAAGTCGGAGAATAGCCATCTTCAGGCGGAGCTACAGTGCCTCTCGTGTCCTTCTTGCGGCGGCCCCACCGTCCTCGGAGACATTCCTTTCAACGAACTTCACATTGAGAACTGTCGCCTCCGTGAAGAGGTAAATTACACTAACCGTTTGATATTTTTGTTTTAATACTATTGTAGCGATTGTGTTTACATAATGAAAAATAAAAAATTGATTAAGAACCAGCCATAACACCTTAATTGTCGATTTCACAGCTTGATCGTCTATGCTGCATTGCTTCGAGATACTCTGGCCGTCCGATGCAATCCATGCCAACATCTCAGCCGTTGATAAATCCTCCTCCGGAGCTTCCACATCATCAACAACCTTCATTGGAGCTAGACATGAGTGCATACGCAGGGAATTTTCAAGAACATTCTTGTCCAGACATGATGTTGCTTCCTCCACAAGACACTGCTTGTTTCTTCCCAGATCAAACTAACAACAACAACAACAACAACAACTTGTTACTTGCGGATGAAGAAAAGATAATCGCAATGGAATTCGCTGTCTCTTGCGTCCAAGAACTGACTAAAATGTGTAACACAGAAGAGCCTCTCTGGATCAAGAAGAAATCCGACAAGATCGGTGCCGAGACTTTGTGTCTGAACGAGGAGGAGTACACGAGGCTCTTCCCAAGGCCAATGGAGAACCATAACAACAACAACAACAACAAAAGAGATTTCCGTAGAGAAGCTTCAAAGGCAAACGCAGTCGTCATCATGAACAGCATAACGCTAGTTGACTCGTTTCTAGACGCTGTAAGTAGTAAAACTTTACACATAAATTAAAAAAACCAATCCTCGATTAACCGGTAAAAATTTATCATTTCTTGAATTGTAGGACAAGTGGTCGGAGATGTTCTGCTCAATCGTTGCTAGGGCAAAAACGCTTCAGATAATTTCATCAGGAGTCTCTGGAGCTAGTGGTTCTCTTCTACTGGTAATTTTTAGTAAATATATTCAATTTAAACGCAAACATCTTTAATTGTTTCTAATGGAATGTTTATGTTTGATTAGATGTACGCAGAGTTACAGGTATTATCTCCACTGGTGCCAACACGAGAAGCTTACTTCCTACGTTACGTGGAGCAAAACTCGGAAACCGGAAACTGGGCGATCGTAGACTTCCCGATCGACAGCTTCCACGATCAGATCAATCCGGTGGATATGAACACTCCTCACGAGTACAAGAGAAAACCTTCAGGCTGCATCATCCAAGACATGCCTAATGGATACTCACAGGTCAAGTGGGTCGAGCACGTTGAAGTAGTAGACGAGAGGCACGTCCACGAGACCTTCGCTGAGTTTGTGAAAACCGGAGCGGCTTTTGGAGCTAACCGTTGGCTCCACGTGTTGCAGAGACAGTGCGAGAGACTCGCTAGTCAAATGGCCAGAAACATAACCGATCTTGGAGGCTAGTATAGTCTTATCTAAACCATACACCTAAATTCTTGAAAACATCACTAAATCTCTCTGTGCTTTGTTCTTTTTGCAGTGATTAGGTCTGCAGAAGGGAGGAAGAACATGATGAGGTTATCACAGAGGATGATGAGAACATTCTGTGTGAACATAAGCACTTCGTATGGACAATCTTGGACTGCCTTGTCTGAGACGAATAAGGACACTGTGAGGATCACAACGAGGAAAACGTGCGAGCCTGGTCAGCCTACAGGTGTTGTTCTTTGCGCCGTCTCTACCACTTGGCTTCCATTTTCTCACCTTCAAGTCTTTGATCTTCTCCGTGATCAACTTCATCACTCTCTGGTAATCACCAAAACCACAATTTTGCTCTCTGTTATGAATCTTGTTAGCGCTTAAAGAATTTGAATATCGAATTTGTTTTGTTTTCTCTGAAGTTGGAGGTTTTGTTCAATGGGAATTCACCGCATGAAGTTGCACACATCGCCAATGGTTCACATCCTGGAAATTGCATCTCTCTTCTTCGAATCAATGTAAGTTCAAAGATTTGACGATCACAGAAGAATCAATTTTTTTTTTGGAATTTTTGTTATGAAATTCGAATTTTGGATTGAGTTTTATGTACTTACAGGTTGCGAGCAATTCGTGGCATAATGTGGAGCTGATGCTACAAGAGAGCTGCATCGATAACTCCGGCAGCTTAATCGTCTACTCCTCCGTCGACGTAGACTCGATCCAGCACGCGATGAACGGAGAAGATCCTTCTAGTATTCCGATTTTGCCCCTCGGATTCTCCGTCGTTCCCGTGAATGCTCCGGATCGTGTTTCCGTCGATTCACCGCCGTCGTGTCTTCTTACCGTCGGGATTCAGGTCCTGGCGAGCAACGTTCCCACCGCGAAACCGAATCTCTCCACCGTCACCACCATCAACAACCACCTTTGCACCATCGTCAATCAGATCACTTCTGTCCTTAGCAGCACCATTTCTCCGGCGATCGCATCTCCCGCCTCCGCCGCCTCCAAACAAGAGGTCATTCAGTGACCGAATTACCCCTAAACCTCCTTGCTTTTTTTGGTGACAAGTCGGTCAATTCGTGTTAAAACAGGGAGGTTCAGAGGTAATTCGGTTATGGCTTCGAGGGTGTTTTAGTAAATAACCTAGCATCTAAACTGATAAGCCGTTTCGGTAGTTTTGGTAAGGGTAAAACGGGAAGTTAAGTTTATGTTTTCGGCTTTTTTTGGAAGGGTCAAAATTGGTATTTTGAGACTAAAAGACAGAGGAAGTCAAGAGCGCACCAGGTAGATTTGTTGACTTTTTTGTTTTCTGTTAACCGGATAATCGGTCTAACTGGTTCCGGTTTAACAGAAAAGTGTAGCTGGTTCGGGTATTGACTTTCTACTTGGTTTGACTCCTTTGAAGTAATTTGGCTTATTTTGCAATTAATATGCTACCTTCTTCTTCTTATTCGTTGGCTTTTCGTATTTAATGCTTTGGTCTCCTTTTAATAATGACTTTATATAAAATATCGAAGTGGGACTATTTGTAATACCACTTTTAGTTCAACATCGTCCGAATTATCATATTCTAAATTGTTAATATTTGGAGATAGTGACAGACACTATCATGATTAGGGCCCGTATTAGTACAAATTTCGTTAGACAAACATTTCTTGGTTCGGTTTTACTTTCATCTACATGGTCAGATATACAAGTTCCATTTTATGTTATATGATCCCCAAGTTCTTTTGACCTTTTTAAACGAAAACACTTTATTCATTCATAAAACAATTAACAACACATATACAACAATATATAGGTAATGATAGAAACAAACGAGGAATTTTAAAACAAGAAATAAATGTGTAGTATATAATAGAATCTCAATTTTAAATGTGTAATATGGTATCTAGGCACATTTGTAACCAGATGGAACCTTCTTACCGCACTGGCTTAGGAGAAGGTTCAATGAAATGGGAAGGTTAAGCTTAATGCCAAGGATATTAGCCTTCAAAGCGGTGCAGAGACATACCGAAGCATCCAGATCAACAAGACCTTTGAGAAGGGAGCAACATTTGGACTTTTGGGGTAGAGAGACCTTAACCAAGTTTAACACATTGGCACATACCTTAAGTTTAAGAGCATCTTTGCAAGTGGGTTTACGGTAAGGAGACGATGGTGAGGGCTTCTTGGGGGGACTCTTGGACGGTGGTGGTGGGCAAGGGACCGAAGCCGAGCTTACTAAAGTGAAGAAGATGACATTGAAGATGAGGAGAAGAGCGATCTTAGAATAAGCCATTGTTGAAGAAGTAAAGGTTTAGTAAGAGATCAGTTTTTCTTATAAAGTTATAAGAAAACCCTAAAAATTCTCTCTTTATCAAGCTAGTGATGTGTTATGTGAAGAAAGAAGAGATTGACTTGGGTTTTTATATTGGAAGGTTGAGATTGCCAGATTGGTTACGTGTTTTTAATTACAAATTACCAGTGGCGACGAAATGAAATAATTTCGATGAACTGTTCATGTGTGGGATTATTATTAGAACTACGACCAATTAATTGATCCTTACAAACTGTCAAAATATATAAATGGATTGTCGGTTATATGTAACATGCAACAAACATTATATTAACCATATGCTGATTATATATAAGGTTTATAACTTAAAATAAGTCAGCTAAATATCGAAATGGAAGGAGAAGTATTTTGGACTTATAAATTTAACTAGATAAGGTCTTGCGTATACGCAGAGTTTATCTTAACTTTTTGAAACAATTTATAAAAAATTATTAAACAAAACATAATTATTTTTAAATATCAAAGCTGGATGCGCGCTACGTGGTTGCGAGACGTAAGATTTTTATAATTTAACCTATAATCAAATTATGAAAATTTTATAAAGATCATACGTGTCACAACCACATCACGCGCATCCAACTTTATATAATAAGATTGAAGTTTTGGTTTCTGGTTCTCGAACTTCTCGTGGCTATGGAAACACACAAAATACATTAGCTACTCTATAAATTAATATTATATAAAGTTGATAATATATTTTTGGTTTCAAGTTGAGTCGGTTCAAAATATAGTACAAATCATTTATATAATAAGATAATAATTTTAAGATTATCTATGTAAATACAGTTCCATTTATATCATAAATAATAACTAATGTAATCTGTTTTTAACAAATATATAATCTATGATAATATACTAAATGATAAAATATTAAAATATAAGTATACAGTTGTTTGTTTTTGTTTTTATTTAAATTTAAATATTTTAGATCGAACTTATCTCTAGTTTTACAATAACACTTTGGAAGTATTATAATTTTTTAGAAACATATTACTTTTAGTCAAAACAGATAAAAAAAATGTTTTTTGATGAAAATTTCAATTTTACTGATCAAATAGGAAAAATAATCCATTTACAAATGATTACCAAAGAAGAAAGAAGGAGAAGTGTGTGATATAAGGCGAAGAAGGATCATGATTCATGACGTCCCCCAAATCATATGCGGTGGACTGCAAAGCATCGACAAAGGATACTCCTAGTACGGTGTGGATACTTTTATCCAAGTGAGGAGATTCTGTTCTTGTTAATGACTCGAGCAAGTTGTTGATGCCACCTATTACCTATACAAGGTTGATTGATGATGTCTAAGATAGTTCGCTCTTGCCATATAGTATAAATGGTTGTCTAACATCAAAGTCTCAACATTATAAATTGATAAAGTTACTATTGTATTATTTTAGAGTTTTCATGTGATATCGCATTCTGATAAATTTTGGTCGAGATATAACTACTGAAATCCAAACTAATATAAAAGTTTACATAAAATACAAACTAGTACAAGTTTACATATAAGTTTAACCGATAGAATTATAATTAGGGTATATTCAAAAATAAAACTGAGAAATCAATATTTAAACATCGATGTTGATACATGCTGAGAAATCAATATTTAGAATCATTAAACAGTTTTTCTTATTCGTATGTTTACCAAAAATTGTTCACAAATGTATATTCCCACTTGTACTAGTCTTTGTAGTTTGTTATTTGCAATTGTATATTCCACCTTTGATATGAGTTGTAATGAGTGTTTGTGAACTTGAATTCTGTGGTATTATCAAGAATCAGTCAACAATTCGGCTTCAGCTGAGCATTGTCAACGTTTATAGCATTTTGGTCACTAACAAGGATAGGTTCCATAGTTGAGAAACAAAGATGGGAGGCGCATACATAAAGATACATTATATAAAACACAACAAGATCCATCTAGCTTGTTTGACAACAACAGAAAGATATATGAACAGACTGGGTAGTCACATTCCAGTATTAAAGAACAAAAAAAGATTAGAATAGTCAAAGGATTAGCTTTCATTTGACAGAACCAGAGGACTGACTACATGATCCTGATAGACTCTGATATCAGAAAACTGATCTCCAATTCCTTCAATCACAACTTTTTCGGCAATGTTTTCCTTGGGAACATAAGAGAGTAAACAGAAAGGTTCCATGCGAGAGTAGGATGCAAAGATAAGCTCACCGGTACTAAATGCACCTCTGAACCAGAACATGTATTGTCCAGATAAGTCACTCCCACGAGAAACCACGACGGAAACCTTTGACCACTCTTGTTTGCTGGCATCTTCAAGAACATGAAGGTCAAGTGCGTCTTCATACAGCCGAGTCGATAAAGCTAACTTCCCACTGTAGTTCACAAGGCTACAAAATTCTTGTAGATACCGCACATTCTCAGACAACTTGATGACATTAAACTCTTCAGATTTCAGATCAAAACTCATCAACAATCCTTTATCTCTCGTCCAAGCATAGTAAAACAGAACACCGTTAATGCATAGCCCATTAGTTTGAAAAGGAGGAAGATGCGGATGCTGGCAATTGATCAATCTCCAAACTTTCTTCTCAGCTCCTAACGTGTAAACCTGATGCTCCTCCGATACAACTAGTAATCTATCTTGTTTCTTAAACTTCTTCACCGTCATGCACAAGACTTTGTACACATCATTAACATGATCATACCCAAAAAAGCTTACTATGCCTAATCTCCTAGTTCTGACTTTAGGCAAAGGTACGAATTGGCCCGTGCTTGGGTTCCCAACCAACAACACTTTGGAAGAATCACTTAACTTAGACAGCAGACCAAGCCACTTTGAGTAACTTCGTAACTTTTGATCGGATTCCAAATCTGAGCAATGTTTACCCGGTGGTGATCATGAGACCGGATCCTTCTGAGAGCATGAGTGATAGAAATGATCGCCGTGACGGTGGACTTTGAAGAGAAGACGCGGCCGAGTTGAAGATCGAGTCATGTACAAGTCGGTGAATTACTTGCTTGGGATTATCGATGCCCAGGTCTTTGAAACGAACACGAGTTTCGCTATGGATTTGGCTGGCAATTTCATGAGAATCTCTTTCTTAAGTGATCCGGGAAATGGATCGTTTTCGCTTTCATCGATTTCCTCTCGGTTCTTAGACCTTGTAAGACTGTTCTCGATCGTCTTCTTCCTCCGAACACTCCTTGTGACACCCGTCACCCGGACTCCCGAGAAACGACGGCGTATCAAGACATCCGTTACAAGCTTAACCAGCTTTAACCGCGATGCCATAACCATGGTCCCAAATCCAAGATGTTCTCTTAACAAAATCCACCAACTTATACTTGAATCAACACTTCTGTACCTACCTGCAAGAAAAGGAAACAGGGGAAGGGAAAAAGGAGGGGGATGAGTAATTTAGATTACCCAGGAGAATGAATCTAAACCGGGCCCAACATACGAAACGCTATAAAACAAACGCCCAGACTTGGGCTAAAACAGCATCAAACAAGACGTCATCTATACAACGCCGAACTAGCACACATGCTGCATTACACAACTCATACCATGCGGTTCCACACATACGGTGTGAACATAACTCATACGGTGCATCACCACACATACAATATATGTCACGACACATATATGAATCACCACACATAAGGTGTGTATCAACACACGCAGTGTATAACACATCATACGATATAGCTTCACAAGGACGGTGTATAACACGGCACAACCAGTGAATCACCACACGTCCGCCGTGTATACAACACAAACCATGAGTCACCTCTCATACAGTATGTAACACCACACACGCTGTATAACGCAACAACCTCCTAGAGGGACTATACACCCAACACGTAATATGGTCTGTAACGGTGATGTTTCTTGTCCAGCCAAGCTCAACCACGTGTGAAGCTACCAAATACCGGCACAACACCCCGTAGTATCTTGCTCCAGTAACTCAACACCCTGGATGTATCCACGCATCACTGCACACACCCCCGTGGTACAAAGCGCCACATCGCTGTCCGCCTCTCTTTCAAGACGTCTGGCTCGTCAAGCCACCGACGATGGATTGGGGTAAGAGAAACCTTTATCTACCCCACATCCAGCAAACACCAACACCAAGCAAGAGGATCCACACGCCTTCCACAATCCTTCCACCTTACTTGTGTTGCACGGTACCTTTAAACCGCCACTAACTAACACGCTTCTCACTAAGCGTCCAACATATATAACTTTATATATAAACATATATATATATATACATATATACATTAACCATCACACACCACACTCAACAATGATCCTTTTAACACTCAACCGTTTTAAATACCATGTCCGATCATTAATTAATCCATATTCGATATATGTTCTTCAACACTCAACAATCAAGAAATCACTTCACAATCAATTCCACAAATATTTATATAATCTCATATAAATATTAATACACAATAATAAATAAATATAATATTTATTAATATCAAGAATAAATTATTTATATACCATAAATAATATCACACAATTTCTCATGAATAATCACTTTAAAATCACCAATAAATATAATTAATTAACTAAATAATTATATAACACAATTTGGGTTCCTAAAATAATACTAGGGTTCACACAACAAACAAGGTTATGCTTAAACCAAGTCTTAGCGTTAAATAATATAGAATAACGCATATTAAGGAACGGTGAAGATTCATCCTCACCTTGGCCTAAAAGCTGATCGGAAGTGAACGGAACATGAAACGGACGTGATCTCGTAACGGCATGAGCATGATGGAACGAGTGAACAACGAGGATTGACTTGCGCCGCAAGCAAATGCTTGGTCTAGCCTTAGATCCTCGCTGCTGAGCTTGACGGTGGAGATCGGGAGCTCCGACAATGATGGTTGCACCTCCGGTGGTGCTCCGCTAGTGGTGGTGATCGGCGGTGGAGTACGGCATCGTCGTTTGTGGTCTCGGCCTCTTCACGGATCATGGTACGTCTCTCTCTCGGTCTTCTTCTTCCTCTCCACCTTTCTCTCTCCTCTCTTTCTTCCATGGCTTCTTCTTCTCCTCTTGTCTCCCACGAGACCTTTCTTCTTCTCTCACACGAGATTTTCTCTCTCTCTCTCTCTCTCTCTCTCTCTTCTCTCCTTCCTTTCTCTCCGGTTTCTCTCGCTTCTCCTTCTTCTATTTTCTCACTTTCTTTTCTCTTCTCGATCGATCACTCGTCTTCTTCTTTCCTCCTTTCCTCTTTCTTTTTCGATCTCCCCTCTCTCTCTCGGCGGCTCCACGATGTCACAGTAGGGTTTCTCCACGAGAGATGGTCACACGGTTTGATCAAACCAAGTTAGAATGGGCCCACGTGGGCTTTAAAAACAAAATTGAAAATGGCCCACATTTTCAGATCCGGGATGTTACACTCCTCTTCCTCTGCATGGTGATTTTCAGTTGATCTCTCACTGTTTATTTCCCCTCTTTGCCGATTTAGGGCTCTGCGATTCCAATTTTGTGATAGTGTGAGATGTTTGATATTTAGATATTTGCAAGTAAAACCCCTTATTTTATTTTATTTTACAGAAAAGTCCTCTATTTTGTTTTGTTTTTTTAAATGAAAATCCTTCAAAAGAGATGACCTCTGTTTTTTTGTTCTTTGTTGAGAAAGTGTAACAAGAATTTCAACTAGCCAACACAAAACTCTTTTTCCTTTCAAATAAGAAAATCAAATTGCTTGTCTAGTGTCTACAAAAAAAAAGGTAAAAAACAACAAATTAATTGTCCAAGATCTTAAATGAGAGGCCACACCAACACCAAAGGCTTGATTAACATACATTTGTCAGAAACATAGGACTCTTTACATGATTGAAATAGACTTCACGAGAAGCAAAATGATCTCCAATCTTCTAACTGATATTATAGAAGGGTTTGATAACCTAACTTATTTTATGGTGCAAAGATAAGCTCGACCGGTACTCAGGGTCCAATTCAAAATTGAAATTTGGGGCCCAAAAATAAGTGTTGTATTTTTGTTTTTTACAAAATATCCAGTAAATAGATTTTGTTTCTGGACCATGAGAAGCCTTGCATTCTATTTCTTTTTGCCGTAATGAAAATTGACATGTACTCATGTTATGCATCCAGTGCATGCCTACTGATTTTAGTAGAGAAAATGAAAAACTGATCATTTGTTCATACTGAACAATCAAGATTGAGAGATAAAACAAACAAATATTAAATTTGCCTCTTTTTCTTTTTCTTAATGCTTTGGGGCGATTGAAAAGTTTTGGTTTGTCTTTAGCCTAACAATTAGAGATATGTGGCCTTCCGAATGTCGTTTGTCAATTTCTGACCTTTGATGATAAAAACTTATGAAAAATTTCATATAACAGCTTTAATATATGATATGAAAACACGATAGGAACATTCTGTCTGTTGATTCAAATGACCACATGGATTCTAAAATTGTAATAAATGAATTTGCTTTCGCTAGAATTTGGTGTCAGTTCAATGTTTCTGATCATTATCAACCCAATAGGCATTTTAGTTGAAAACTATACACTATAAATGCTAGTTCTTGGAAGAAACAAAAAAAACAGTAGGTTGAAAACTCAAAATCATGCTTTTTTGTTGATAACAAAATAATTATAAAAACAAAATTTTACTGTTTGTATCTCATGTCATTTTTTTTTGGGTGGAAGTTTGTATCTCATGTCATTAAATATGTTAATACTCTGATAACAAACAAAAATACCTTAAAACATAACCTAGGCATGCCTTGACAGTTGGCAGGATCTAATTTTACGAATATGTTACTGAATTTGTTGGATGGATTAAAAGATGTTAATATTTTGACCAAATATTACACTAAACTTCGTTAGTTTGGTCAGGAACTATAGTTTTAATAAGTTACTAGTAGAGGACCCGCGCAAACGCGCGGTGTGACGTTGCGGTTTTGTGAAGAAAATCTAAATCCTAAACCCGAGCCCGACCCAAAAACCCTAATCAAATTTTTTTTTAAATCCAAACCTTTTTAATATGTCTAAACCCGAAAATCCGAAATCCAAAAAATCCCGAAAACCCTGAACAGAATAAAAAAAAAACTCGAAAATTTTTCACCTGAAACCCGAACCCGACCTAAAACCCTAATCAAAATTTTAAAATACCCAACAAATTTGAATATGTCTAAACCCGAAATCCAAAAAATCCCGAAAACCCTGAACTAAACCCAAAAAAACTCGAACCCAAACCGAACATAAATTTTCAAGATTCCCGAACAGAAATCCATAATTTGATAATTAGACATATTTCTATTTCACTATTGAAAATTTTGCAAATATCATTCGAACATATTTATTAGGAAAACCCTAAGGGAAAAACCTTAGCTAAGGAAAAAGAGTGCAGCGCATAATTACTCCCCCTCATGAGAACACCCGTCTAAATGTTTGAGACGACATAATCCAACAAGATGAACTAACTCCTTGAAAGTAGTCGCTGGAAACTCCTTGTTTAAAGAAATCTTCAAAATCTTCACTTGAATAATCTTTAGAATGTTGATATCGCCATTCTTCGTCAGTGCATGGATGTAGTTGATGATTCATCTTGAATCATTCTCTTTGTTTCATTTGACCTCATAAATATGACAAAGACTTTGGAAAAGGAGATAGACTATCATCTTTAGACTTCCTTTAGATGTTTTCTCATTTGTGTGTTCTTTGTTGCCTCATTAAAACCTTTCATGGAAAAACCCAATGGGATAAAAACCATGATAAGGAAAAAGAGTACAACCACACATATCATCATATATCTTCCCTTTGGAAGCATCTTCTTCAAGAGATGCATTCCAATAATCAATCCAACTTTTGGAGATTACTATGAGTATAACCTCAGTTAATAAACTCATATGATTATCTTATAATCTTCTAGGTCATTTAAACTTCTAGTCTATGATATTTTTTATAAGTGTATTCTCTATATTCTATTATAAGTAATATTTCTTGGTCTATATTTGGACTTCGGCCAAACTTTCCCTTCTACATAAATTCTTGTAAATATATCTTGTATATATAAGTTATCTCATGCTCATTTTGCTTATCTTTGAAAGAGACCAACACATTTCTCAAATATAATTTAAAGTATGATACTTCAAGACCAAATGTGAGCATTCTTTAATGCAAATCTTACAAGGATCTTTTGAGATTACATCTTTTTGTTAAACTGTGAATATGAGATATCTTAAGACAAATTTGTCTTTCCAATATCTTTTATCTAATTTCAACAATTCTTCAGGAATTTCGATGATGTTTAGATTAAAGATCTCTTCTGATCCATAAATGTTTTATAAATATACACTGGGTAACACTTTTGTGATTGTACCCCAATGAGACGTATTTCTCTTCATTTGATCAAATAATTAGAGTTTTGGGAACATAGTTTTGATATCATTAATCCTTCAGGAATTATATCCTTCAGGGACTTTTATAAAAATGTCATTATTTAGTGGGTCTTAAGACTCAAGTTCTTCTTTCATTGCCACACTTAATGAACTTGAAAGTTGCATCCACCACATGCCTATTATAACCCACTTGTTTTACACTTTTAAGATGTAAGGACTTCTGGTCCAAATACATTTCTCTTTCTAAGAGATTTTAGTTTTGCGTCTATTGCTTCTTTTCGATTTGGCCAAATCATTACTTTGTGTACACAATGCAATAGACTTTGTTTCATGATCCTCTTTCTCATTCATAACATCAACTGCTATAATGCATGCAAATATTTTATTTATGACGTCGATTTGCTTTTATGGTTCCATTTTATTCCATACATGACATAATTAATTCTCGAGATCTCTTCTTTGTCTCAGGTACCTGAATTTCTTTCTTGTCATGTTTAATATCTCTTCTTGAGATCATTTCAAAAACATTTGTTTCCTCGGTTTAACCATTATCAATTTATGCTCATTTTACTTTACCGAGGTCACTAATATTTGGAACCAACAAGTCTATCACACTTCATGCGTTCTTTAGACTTACTAGCAGTTTGATATTGTCCTTCTGGGAAATCAATTATTCTTAGAGCATTTACAGCTGGTAAGTGACTCAACACTATATTTGGGTCAGTAATTGTATCTGGCAATTGATACAGTAAGTTTTGTGAATGAATTATCTTTTAGACTTTTATTTCACATACTATCGTCTGAGGATCAATGATAATTCATTCTAACTTTAATCTTTCTCCAGCTGTTTTATTTTCTCCCCCTGATGTTGGAAAGACTGAATCACTGAAATGACAGTCTACAAATTGAGCTATATTTAAATCCTTCATGGATAGCTCTAAATATTATCATAGGAGATTAACATCCAACATACATTTACTATCTCTTTCGAGGGTCCATCTTATATTGTTGTGGTGGAGCGTTATGAATGTATTCTGCACATCCATAGATCTTTAGATGGAAAACTTTGGTTTCTGACCTAAACCAATTACGATGGGGAGAAATTTTAGTTATTCATTGGCTTTATGCGAATTAATGCTTTTGCATTATGTATAATGATGAACATTTGCTACTGGATGTTCAACATTTATTCTTACAAACATGTTTTTCTCAACAAAGATTTAAGATGTGATTTCACTAGCACTACCAAGTAATCTCGCAAACTTCAGGTTGCAGATATGTAATATTGATACATAACACTTGTTGATATATTTAAGAAACACCATAACATTTCTCTTACTGGATGATCAGTCCATATAATGGTTTATTAGACCACAAAAGTTTCTTATATTCTTTCTAGAAATTGGATACATTCCAAATCTATTTTGGCTAGTTGGTAATTGTATAATCATAATGTCTTATGATTAAACATCACATTATAGATAATTAAGAAGAATCTTCAAGTTCTTCAATAAATCTTTACATGATGTATTTTATTTCGCATAATTCTTGAACCGAAATGGTCTAACCAGCTCATGCCAAACTATGTTATATTCGGTAAACTTCTAGTTTACTACATAACATTTACATCTCCTATTTAATCTTTGTCTATGATGAGGCATTAGATA